CCTACCGTTTTGCAAATCCCATGTCGTAAGCCATTCTGTTCGCAAAGCAATCGGGCTCAAGTGTTTCAGGCAAAGTACGCTGGTTGGCACAGGCTGAAAGTTGCTCCGCTTGGCATGCACAAAACGTGTCCACTTCCTTGCTCTGTCACGGTCTTTTGGCCATTCAAATAGCTGGTGACATGAATGGGAACAATGAATTGCTACACAATGCCGCGGCATCCTTTGTTACAAACTTTGATAGCTTGAAACTGGGACAATTCCATGATATCTTGACTCACAGATTCATAGACTCACAAGATTCTCCCTGGTCCTAGGAATGACGTCACAACCGGGGACTGCCGAAGGCCACCGAGTTTTGCATCTTCGTTTCTAAGGGCGTTGCTATGGGATTTTAGGGGATACCAGAGGGTCTCTTCAATTTTTTTTTATGCATGAATAGGCCGTTGCACTCCTGTTGAAGTCACCTGCGTCCTCTGTTTAGGGTTTCTCTTTTTCTGCTGGACCACTTTTAAGAACTACAAAACTGTCCTATTCTTCAGTTTGAAAACCAAACTCCTTGTGATATTATACAGAGGATAGTTTTGCCTCACCTAAATGGCATAGTTCTCAACATCAAAGTTTCATTTGTGTTTCAAATATATCATAAAAGAAGCATAGCTTTTGCCGTTTCATCAGTGCCACACATTCTCCTTATGTCCCTCTTTGTCCTGAGACCAATGTATTTTACAAAGTCCATGAAGGTAAGCCATTACTTGTTAAAGGCCTAAAAAGTAGACTAAATATCTATGTGCAAACCAGATGTCTAAACCTTTCAGTATTAATAACTGTTAAAATACAAATAATTATAATAACAATAATAACGGTTATCATATGATATTATAATAATACACAACTAATAATAAAAAATACATTTATAAATAATGAAGTTAAAATAAGAAAACAAATCAAACAAAAATACCCCCCCCCCCATATAATATAACAAAGAGCTCATAAAAAGAATGAAAAAAAAAGTTTGCTGGTGATGTGGTGGTGTAGTGGTTATGGAGATGTGTGATGGTGCTGTGGTTGTGGAGGTGTTGTAGAGGTGTTGTGGCAGTGGTGGTGTGGTGGTGCAGTGGATGTGGAGGTGTGGTGGTGGTGCAGTGGATGTGGTGTTGTAATGGCAGTGTGGTGGTGCAGTGGATGTGGTGTTGTAATGGCGGTGTGGTGGTGCAGTGGATGTGGAGGTGGTGGTGCAGTGGTGGTGAAGGTGTAGTGCTGGTGCAGTGATGATGGAGTAGTGGTGGTGGTGTAGTGGTAGTGGAGGTGTGGTGGTGGTGGCATAGTGTGTGGTGTGTGGTGATGAGGAAGTACTGGGTGGTGGTGTGGTGATGAGGAAGTACTGGTGGTGGTGGTGTGATGATGAGGAAGTAGTGGTGTTGGTGGTGTGGTATGTAGTGATGGTGTGGTTGGGGTGTAGTGTGTGGGGTTGTGGTGTAGTGTGTGTGGTTGTGGTGTAGTGTGTGTGGTTGTGGTGTAGTGTGTGTGGTTATGGTGGTGGTGTGTTTGGTTGTGTAGTTGTCGTGGTGTGGTGTGGTGCAGTGTGGTGGCAGTAGTGTGGTGTGGTGGTGATGTGGTGGTGGTGTGGTGATGTGGTAGTGGTAGTGTGGTGATAGTGCGGTGGTGGTGGTGCAGTGTGGTGTGGTGGTGTTGGTGTGATGTGATGTGGTAGTGGTGGTGGTGTGATGTGGTGGTGGTGGTGTTATGGTAGTGGTGGTGGTTGTCATTATAAAGATATGAAAGATTATGATGATGTCAATAATAATAACGATGACAATAATAGTAACTAACAACAACAATAATGACGATAATAATAATTATTAATAATAAGAACAATAATTATATCAATTATAATATCATTAATAGTATCACTACAATAATAATAATAATAATAATAATAATAATAATAATAATAATAATAATAATAATGATAATAATAATAATAATAATAGCAGTGTTAATAATAATAACAATGATAATGAAAATAATAATAATGAGAAAATAAGTAGTTGTAGTAGTAGTAATAATGATACATCTGACTTCCTGATATAAAGTAGACCACAAAATAATTTGCATATAACACTGACACAGTGTTTGAACTGAGGTTAAACAGCTTGCTTAGAAATTCACTAAATATGAACATTATAAAAATACTTATGCTTGGATGGGTTATGGTAATATTTGTTTTCAATATTCCATGGAGACCCAGCTTCTCTATAAGAATGGCTCAGCTGCGCTGTAGAATATGACACGAGACAAAATCCATACAAGTATACATACCAATATGGTATTTAAATATAATACTCTACTTGCATATATTGCTTGCAGATAAGATCTTAAAGACAGATGAGTCTACTAAGTTGGTATAATTTTACTTGTGGGGGGCACTGCATTTTTATTGAAAAGTATACAGCACATATTTTTCTTGACAAGCTTTTTGCTTGAAGATGAAGCTGCATCAGATCTTTATAAATGCTGTGTTGCTTAAGTACATGATAAGGTCACTTCAAGAGTCTGTCGGAAAAACGGTGATACATCATGTTTCCATTATCTTTATTTATCAAATCATGTAACAGATATCATAATAAGCTGCACAATACATATATAAAAGTTGAAAAGAGAACTGCTATCCTGAATTTCAAACAAACTGAATTTACAAGCAAATCTCATAGAAACTGTGGCAATAACTTGACATCAAGATTTTCCTACATAAATAGATATCTTGATCAAAAGCAGTTTCCGTTCTGTTCAATTTGTTTCAATATGATATAATTATCAAATGAGAGATGATGCTCATCAGGAAAAACAATATATGAGACAGAAAACTGAGGATGAGGGAGGGAGGGAGGAAGGGAAGGGAGGAGGAAGGAAGGAAGGAAGGAAGGGAGGGAGGGAGGGAGGGAGGGAGGGAGGGAGGGAGGGAGGAGGAGGAGGGAGGGAGGGAGGGAGGGAGGGAGGGAGGGAGGGAGGGGAGGGAGGAAGGGAGGGAGGGAGGGAGAGGGAAGGGAGGGAGGGAGGGAGAGAGGAGGGGGGAGGGAGGGAGGGAGGGAGGAGGGAGAGAGAAGGGAGGGAGGAGGGAGAGAGGAAGGGAGGGAGGGAGGGAGAGAGGGGAGGGAGGGAGGGGAGAGGGAGGGAGGGAGGGAGGAGGAGGAAGGGAGGGAGGGAGGGAGGAGGGAGGAAGGAAGGTAGGAAGGGAGGGAGGTAGGAAGGAAGGTAGGAAGGGAGGGAGATAGAGAGCGAGGGAGAGAGAGAGCGAGAGAGAGCGAGAGAGAGAGCGAGAGAGAGAGCGAGAGAGAGAGCGAGAGGAGAGTGAGAGAGAGTGAGAGAGAGTGAGAGAGAGGAGAGAGAGAGAGAGAGAGAGAGAGAGAGAGAGAGAGAGAGAGAGAGAGAGAGAGAGAGAGAGAGAGAGAGAGAGAGAGAGAGAGAGAGAGAGAGAGAGAGATGGTTTAAGTTAGGAATAAGGCAAGGAGAGAGATGAAAAATGTGAAAGGAAGGGCAAGAGGGTGAAGGAACGAAGGAAAAAAGGGAAGAGGAGGAGGAAACTGAAAAAAGGAATGGAAGGTTGGAGAAGGAAAAAGGGTAAGAGGGACGGGAAAGGAGGAAAGAAGGACTGAAGAAAAGGAGGAAAAAAAAAGAGAGAAAAAGTAGGTAGGGGAGAAAAAGGGAATAGAAGAGAGGAGATGGAGGGAAATAAGGGAGGCAGGAGAAAATGAAATGAGGGAATGAAGGAACAAAGAATGAGAGAGGGAAGGAGAGAAGAAGGAAACAGGGAATGGAGGGAGAAGAAAAGGGGGGGAGGAAAGGATGAGTGGAGGAAAGGAGAGAAGAGGGAGAAGGAAAGGGGAAAAAAAGGGAGGGAGAAGGAAAGAGGAAAAAAGGGAGGGAAAAGAAAAGAGCACAAGGAGGAAGGATGAACTAAAGAAGGATGGTATGGATGATGAGGGAGAAACAGGATAGAAGGTTGCATAGGACAGGATCAATAAATAAATAATTAAAAAATGAAGGCAGTGAATAGGGCATCAAAAAAATAGTAGTTTCTGAAACGGGTATCTTCTACATCAAGGCCCATTGAACAGAGAGGTGAACATGTACATTCAAAGCATCAGTGAAATTCCAGCCTTGTGCTTTCTGAATAGGATGACTTGGAGTTTGGGAGAATGTGTTATACTTTGCAAATATATATAAAATCTATTCAAAGTGTCCATCTAAATTACTTTCCTTTACACATATACATTTTTTTGCATGTGACTGTGTGTACATGTTTGATTGACAGCACATTTATCTGTCTTGTAGTGTTTTCTGTGAATGTGTTATTTCTGTGGCAACACCTAAGAAATTTGTACATGGAAAAAGACAGACCCATTATATAAGGCATATGAATATACATAACAAGCTCAAAATGCAGAAGCACAGCTCAATAATATGACAATATATATATATCATTCATGATGCTACTGATCTGGTTACACTGACATGTCCACTTCCTTGTTCTTATCAATACAGTTGTAGGAAAAAAATAATAAAAAATAATAATAAATATATAAATAAATAAAATAAGTATTGTAAATATTAAGCTCTTGACAAACAAAACAATAAGAAGTTAATTATTTTTCTTTAGTAACAGAAAATTAGCAAAACAAAAATATCAATAGAATTTTAAAGATTTCACTTATTCAACATCCTGTTTGACTTCAGATTCATATATTTTAAGTAGTCACAAGAAAATGTATTACCCATGCATTTAGTAAAATTTGTCTACAGAATAGCACTGATGGGGTTGGAATGACTGAGATGTCTCCATACTTTTCAACTAATCTGGTAAAATGTCTACACTATTCTAAAATAAGGCAATCTATTAGAACTAAACAAAAATAAAAAAATAAATAAATAAAAAAAAGAGAGAGAGAGAAAGCTATTTTACTGGGTTCCTTTAAAAACACTAAGAGGATAATAAAAGGCAATTTTCATCCAGATATAGGGGGCAGGGAATTTTACTGGTTCACTTGGGACATCACAGATGAGTGCATATGAACACTGTGGTAATGTGGACATAAAAGAACACCAGAATCACTAGCATCAACCATTCTCACTTCTTCTTGAGCCCACCAGTGTTAAACTTGAAGAATATGATGTCACCGTCCTCGACTACGTAGGTACGCCCTCTTTGGTGGTACTTTCCAGCAGCCTGGGAGGAAATCAAAAGAGATCAGTGGTACCTATATTCTATCTGGATTTTTTTTTTATTTTTTTCAGTAGTACTATCAATAATTTTCACAAAAAGAAATCTTTGAGCTCAACCTAACCTAATCAATATCTTTTAAAAAGGTAATGATGACTTTTATGGAACAAGCTATGTATTAGAAATGTAAAAAAAATACACATATTATTGTCTAGGTAATCTTAAATGATACTCAGAGTGTGTGTAATCATTGTTAATATGTAATATCTCTCAAACAAACAAACACTCACACTTACTCTCACTCTGTCATTCACTCCCTCCTTCCATCACTCACTCAATCACTCATTTCAATTTATCAGTAATATGTAACCAAAACATATTATTTCTAGAATGAATATAAAATAAATAAATAAATTTATCTTGCTTTTTATATCCTCTTAACAATAAAAAATGCATAGCTTTCCCAGCCTATTTTCATTCAAAGGTTACATTCATTACCTGAAAATCCAACCTAATCAAAGAAATAGTACCATTATAAGGTAGTTTCAAAATAATTAAATTACTGTTTGCAATATAACAGTTACTACTGATGATAAAATGAAGCCATTAATGGTAAAAAGTATTACCTTCATGATCATTATTTAACTTATGTAATTCCTAAAAAAAAAGAGGCTATATTGAAATACCTGTAACAAAGGGAAAAAAAGTAACAATGTAAATATATGCAATCTGAGTGATCATAATAATAACAGTGTTAGTGGTATTCAATACTATACATTACCTTTGCCCCTGCCTCAGAGCCTTCTTCCTTGAAATCGTCGAACTTCATCACCTCAGCCATGACAAAGCCTCGCTCGAAGTCAGTGTGGATTTTGCCAGCAGCCTGGGGAGCCTTGGTTCCTTTCTGTTTGTTGGAAGGAAGTTTTTGATACAAATGCATTGATGTAAATACTAACAAGATAAATTTTCTAGGCTTAAAAATGAAAATAGAAATGCAAATTAATGAGTTACTATAAGTGAACTATATGAAAATGATTGATTTCAGCAAAATAGCATTCCTTCTCATGCAGTGTGATTCCATAATGCAATACTTTATCATAATATACCAAAAACCCAAACATTTTTTTCTATAACTAAGCTTATGAAGCTTAGTTATAGAAATGGCAGGTCCAGTCTTCGCCTGCATGCTACTCACCTGGATAGTCCATGCTTTCACCTCATCAGGACCAGCTGTGAAGAAATACTGCAGCTGGAGGGCCTTGTACCCTTGCAGGATGATTTTGTCCAGGGCACTGTAAGAACCATTACTCAAGTTATTTTTACAGATTCAGGCCAAGACCATAGGGAAGTGAGTTATACACTAATTAAAAATAATGCTTATGTGACAACTGACGCAGTATTTCTACCTTAACCTGTCTGTTCTTTTGTGAAATCTCTTTGCATATTAGGTGGCTCCACATGTGCTCAACTAATAAGGAGCCAATTAGTAAGCAGATGTGTCCTCAGCTGATTTTGCCATTCCTAGTGTTTTAGGAAAAAATATACACATTTCTAATGCTATTAATATTGATGAATTTATCATTGTTGTTGACAATGATAACAAAATGTTTTTTTTTCTGTAACTCAAAGAAAAGGGAAAACAATTGAACTAGGTAGGGCTAGCAATAATTTAAGCACTAGCAAAGCCATCTGTGTGCAAAGACCATCAGTAAACAAAATGACATCTGGACATAGCATGTATCCTTCCCAACTATCATTAATGGATTAAAGGAAATTTACTAATTCCAAAGAGTTTCAATAATATGAAAACTGGCAGAAAAATCTACAGCACTACAATCACCGAAAACCAGTATCATGTGCCATTATCTTTTTTAGGTAAAATACTGAGTGAGAAATGTAAAACGTGTCGATGCACATAAAACAGTGTCCTTGGGAGACGCCTGGTCGCGGACCGAATATCGCATTCATTTCCGTGTTACGTAATTTTTACAATAATAACAGCATTATCAGTAGCAGCAAAGATAACAATAACAGAGCAATCACCAGTTAGTTTAAGCAGCACAGAACGAAGTGGGTAAAAAAATGAGATACTTCTAATTCTTGCTGACGTGATGAAATTAATAATAATAATAATAATAATAATAATAATAATAATAATACAATAACAAAAAACATTAATTGGCAGTGAAAGGGAAAACAACCAAAATAGAAGACACTCAATAACGTGGACAGAAATACCCAAGGAAGTGAGAGTGAATGCATTAGTGCATGTGTTTGCGTTTCGCCTGTTTTCCAGTCGACTCCTCAACACAAAGGACCGGCCAGATGTTGACGCCTCGGCTGTTGTGACTAAGGACTTAATAAGTATATAAACTTTGGCTGTGGCGACCCGATTCGGCGAGTGTGTCGGATACGGATAAGCTCTGAATTCCCCGTGGGTTGGTTTGGCTTGCGGCTGTCTGTCTCTCAATGTCTTTCTAGCTCTCTCTTTCTCCTTCCCTAGTTCTCTCTCTCCCTCTCCCTCTCTCTCCTCTCCCTCTCTCCTCTCTCCTCCCTCACTCTCCCTCTCTCTCCCTCTCTCCCTCTTCCCTCTCTCTCTCCCTCTCCTCCCCTCTCCCTCTCTCTCCCTCCCTCTCCTCCTCCTCCTCTCTCTCCCTCTCTCTCCCTCCCTCTCCCCTTCTCTCTCCTCTCCTCCCTCCCTCTCCCTCTCTCTCCTCTCTCCCTCCCCTCCCTCTCTCTCCCTCCCTCCTCTCCCTCTCCCTCTCTCTCTCCCTCCCTCCCTCCTCTCTCCTCTCTCTCCCTCCTCCCTCCTCTCCCCTCTTCTCCCGCCCTCCCTCTCTCCCCTCTCTCTCCTCTCCCTCCCTCCCTCTTCCCTCTCCTCTCCCTCCCTCTCTCCCTCTCTCTCCCTCCCTCCCTCCCTCTCCTCCTCTCCCTCCCTCCCTCCTCTCCTCTCTCTCCCTCTCCCTCCTCTCCCTCCTCTCTCCCTCTCTCTCCCTCCCTCCCTCTCCCCTCTCCTCTCCCTGCCCTCCCTCCCTCTACCCTCTCTCTCTCTCCCTCACTCTCCCTCTCTCTCCTCCCTCCCTCCCTTCTCCCTCCTCTCCCTCCTCCTCCCTCTCCCTCTCTCTCCCTCTCTCTCCCTCTCCTCTCCCTCTCCTCTCCCCTCTCTCCCCTCCCTCTCTCTCCCTCCCATCCCTCCCTCTCCCTCTCTGCTCCTCTCCCTCCCTCCTCTCCCTCGCTCTCGCCTCCTCTCCCTCCCTCCCTCCTCCCTCTCTCTCCCCCTCCCTCGCCTCCCTCTCTCTCCTCCTCTCTCCCTCCCTCCCTCCTCTCCTCCCTCTCTCTCCCTCCCTCCCTCCCTCCCCTCTCTCCTCTCTCTCCCTCCCCTCCCTCCCTCTCTCCCTCTCTCCCCTCCCTCCCTCTCCCTCTCCTCTCCCTCTCCCTCCCTCCCTCCCTCTCCCTCTCTCTCCCGGCCCTCCCTCCCCTCCCCTCTCTCTCCCCCCCTCCCTCCCTCCTTCCCTCTCTCTCCCTCCCTCCCTCCCTCTCCCTCTCTCTCCTCCCCTACCCTCTCTCTCCTCCCTCCCTCCTCTCCCTCCTCTCCTCCTCCCTCTCCCTCTCTCTCCCTCCCCCCTCCCTCTCCCTCTCTCTCCCTCTCCCTCCCTCCCCTCTCCCTCCCTCTCTCTCCCTCCCTCCTCCCTCTCCCCCTCTCCTTCCCTCCCTCCCCTCCCTCTCCCTCGCCCTCCCGCCCTCCCTCTCCCTCTCTCTCGCGTCCCCTCCCCTCCCTCTCCCTCTCTCTCCCTCCCTCCCTCCCTCTCCCTCTCTCTCCCTCCCTCCCTCCCTCTCCCTGCTCTCTCCCCTCCCTCCTCCCTCTCCTGCTCCCTCCCTCCTCTCCCTCTCCTGCCTGCCTCCCTCCCTCCCCCGCTGCCCTCTCCGCTCCCCTCCGCTCCCTCTCCCTCTCCTCTCCCTCCCTCCTCTCCTCTCCCTCTCTTCTCCGCTCTCTCTCCCTCCCTCCCTCCCTCTCTCTCCCTCCCTCCCTCCCTCTCCTCTCTCTCCCTCCTCCCTAACCTCTCCCTCTCTCTCCCTCCCTCCCTCCCTCTCCCTCTCTCTCCCTCCCTCCCCTCCCTCTCCCTTCTCTTCTCCCTCCTCCCTCGCAACCAGATATATACCAGGAACCACGCTCGCCACCCCACACACCTCAAAGACCCAATACCCCCGACCCGCGAAAACAAGACGACCTGTTTCTCCCTCTCTCTCCCTCCCTCCCTCCCTCTCCCTCTCTCTCCCCCCTCCCTCCCTTCCCTCTCCCTCCCTCCCTCCCTCTCTCCTCCTCCTCCCTCCCTCTCTTCTCCCTCCCTCCCTCCCTCTTCTCCTCCCTCCCTCCCTTCCCTCTCTCTCCCTCCCTCCCTCCCTCTCTCTCCCTCCCTCCCCTCTCTCCTCCCTCCCTCCCTCCTCTCTCTCCCTCCTCCTCCCTCTCTCTCCCTCCCTCCCTCCCTCTCTCTCCCTCCCTCCCTCCCTCTCTCTCCCTCCCTCCCTCCCTCTCTCTTCCCTCCCTCCGCTCCCTCTCTCTCCCTTCCTCCCTCCCTCTCTCTCCCTTCCTCCCTCCCTCTCTCTCCCTCCCTCCCTCCTCTCTCTCCCTCCCTCCCTCTCTTCTTCCGGCGAGAGAGAGAGGGAGGAGAGCAGAGCGGAGGGAGGGAGGGAGAGAGAGGACGCAGGGAGGAGGAGGAGCAGAGGGCAGGATGGGAGCGGAGAGAGAGGGAGCGGAGGGAGGAGAGAGAGGGAGGGAGGGAGGGAGCAGAGAAGGGAGGGCAGGGAGGAGA